TATATATATATATATATATATATATATAGATATATATGTCACATACATTTTTCTTTATAGAGTAATCTTAACATAATCATTGGTTGTATCTGGTAATATCTATATAGACTGACCTGAAAGTATGGTACTAACACAATCACATAGAAGTGTTTAAGAAACCCCCATTTTCTTACTTTTATCACGAAGCTCCAACCGATTAATGTTATTAAGAAATTACTTGAACATGCTTTTTTGAAGTAACCTTTTGGTGTGGAGTAATAAAGCTGCTTTCGTCAGTTCATGCTACAATTTCTTCAAACAAAATAAAAGACCTGCATTAACATTATTACTATTTCGTTTAGGTAAAGAATGCAATGATGTTGAGACTGAGATTCTTAACCATAGGGCCTGACTTTTTAAATATACTGATGGTAGTAAAAAAAAGTTTGGTAAATCACATTAAATCACATCGTGTAGTTTTGTGTGAAATTCAAAACAAACCAAACTATTTTGATTTTTTTTATATGTGAAAAAGGAAGTTCTAACCCAATGGTTCCCAAACTCTTCTAGCTTGAGAGACTCTTGAAGTGAATGAAAAGGTGTGAGCCCCCCCCCCCCACAACTTATAAAGATGCCTTAAGATGTGATTGAAAAACAGTAAAAACAATAACATCTCCTTTCGAAATACTCTATCATTTAATTAAGTCTACATGATTTTTATCTGCTTATTGTTCATTTAGAATTAAAATTAATTAGTATTTTTGTTTTCGGCCCATTTTTGGCGGCCCTCCAGAAAAAGCTTTACGGCCCTCACTTTGGGAAGCACAGAGCGGCTACTGATGAAAAGTATAAGCAGATGTAAACTTACATTATCTCTAATATTCGGTTCTAGGTGAAACCCAATATTTGGTTCGATAATAAAAACTGGAGCCCAGTATTTAGGGCGGTAAACTGGGGCCAAGTGATATTGGTGCGAAACAACAAACGGAACGAAAAATATAATTGTCAACAATTGTTTCCTTGTAATTAAGCACAAAGCCACACAATGGGCTATCTGTGCTCTGCCCACCACGGGTATCGAAAACCCGGTTTCTAGCGTTGTAAGTCCGCAGACATACCGCTGTGCCACTGGGGGTCATTTTCAACAAACAACATAAATAATGGTTGGAGACGGCTTGAATGGGTAATGAAGAAAAATTTGAATATAAGTTTTTCTTCATTACCCATTCAAGTCGTCTCCAACCATTATTAGTCTCAAAGTGGGTTCCTCATCACCGAATTTGAAAACACCATAAATGTATTTTAATGCCACCGGTGGCTCAGCGGTAACCTTGAGGAATTATAACATTAAATCGAGAATTTATAAAACACAGAGTAGTAAATGTCAATAAAATTATTATTTGTCAAAAAAAAAAACAAAAAAAAAACAACAAAAATTGATCAATTGACAAGAACTATAAAATGAAAGTGATATGACTTTAGCTGAGTGGGCGCCAGATGTTGGGCTCCTACCACCTGACACGTTAGTAACCACCTCTCCCCCCCCCCACACACACACACTAAGATAAAGCAAAGGAGATATGCATACCTGCACGGAAGGATCGTAAACGTGAAACACCACCCGTCGTATGTCAGTTCGATATCTAGAGTTAATAAACTGTTTGAGGAATCTGACAAATATATATATTAAGAGCAATCCAATAACAATCAAATTCGTTCCTTTTACTTTGTGAACTATTATTTGTTATCATAATTTTCACGTTTCCGAATACACCAAGTCATACAAATGTTACCCTGCATATGTATATGTTTTTGTTTTTCTTGTTGTCTATTGGATAGAATCTTTTCTTTTCAGCTCTACCAAGAAGTTATAAAACTGAGATCTGACTATACGGGGGCGTATCTGAAAAGAGGAGATTTCTTGATGAAGATCAACAGGTAGATGTTTGCTTTATGTATTTCCAGACGTAAATACGCATTCAGTCTATTTTATTATAAGTG